CATTCAGTCAGCTGTTTACCCCAACCCCTTGTAAAATGTAGCTTTTCCACTGCAGGCTATATAAATCCATCTCGCCTGATGTTAGCAGTAAGATTACTGGCAGCTAAAGTTCAGGAACAGCGTTAAGATTAAGTACTGTAAAATAATCACAACTTCTAAGCCTGCAGATATTCAATTTCTGATTAGGGCTGTACGTAACGATTATTTTTCAAGTCAATTAATCAAACGATTATTTTTTCAATTACCCAATTAATCTAACGACTAATTTTCTGTATTCTAAAAGGAAAAAAGTTGCCTATTACTCGATTAACATACCAATTTATCCAAAATAAATATCAAAAACATTCCTAATAAATAAATCTATATTTTAATCATCCTGATGAAGCACATTAGAATAATGTGTGTGTATATATATATATATATATAAAATAAGAATAGCAGCAAATCTTAAAATGAATCAAATTTCCACGCCATTGATGTGTTGTGATAACAACAATAACAGACATTAATTATTAGGCTACTTTACTTAAAACTTTTAATGTTTTTGACATGGATTAATTTCAATATTGAGTACTGCAGTATGATAATCAAATGTATTTCTGCATCAGTGTCGGGCAAAGAAAACAATTGAAAGGATTCACAGACTGTACAGACAGTCACAGATCGTCTGTAATGTTAGTTTCAGCTGTTTTCTCGCTCATATGTGGCCGTTAATTAAAACAGAAAATATGAAACGGCCGAACGTTCGATGTCTTGAGGTGTAACGTTATGCTACAATGACAGCAGCGGGGCAAAAATTACTTTTAACATGAAAGCGATTAAGAAATACTACGTGTCCTTGTGCTGATGATGTGCCATGCTCGTGTGGCGACAGAAAGTAAATAGGATTTGCGGTGCTGCCGTCAGTGCTCCAGGATACTTTCGCTCACGTGTTCATGCTGCTTCACGTATTCGTGGACAGTTGTGCTGCAGTGAAGCTTTTCTCAGATCACAGAGACTGTCTGTCTAAAATACTTCCAAACTTTAGCTTGTCCGGGGGAATCCTGCCAACACTGGATCGACTATGTTGACGAATTGCCCGAGCCCTAAATTCCTGTTTATATTATCGGTCTGCAGCTGATATTGTTTCATTTAAAAATGTCAGCTTTAACGCTGAATCACAACTACTACTACTTTTACAGTGAAGAAAGAAGTCAGTGTCAGGATGGAGTAAAGAGTTTGTAAAGGCACATACCTGTGTTTGACTCATAGCGATCTCTTCCTGGACCTAACACCAATGAGAATAATGAAAATGATGTCATGTTATACTCTGAACAAAATATAAAAATAACAATGTGTAGTAGTAATATTAAGTGATACAGTACTGCTGCATTTCATATCATATAATACATCTCTCTACACAGTGAGAGAGAGAGAATAAACACATGTTTTAAGTGAATTGGACACCCTGTCATAAATACGAGGTTACGTCTCAAGTCTCCAGTGAGACAATGTGCCATTTGTGCTTTGTTTCCAGATACTGCTTTATACTCAGTAGCGACTATTCAGGACACCTGTACAATCTACTGCAATTCTGTACAACAGGTTCAGTTTCTGACCATTTTGTCAGGAATGTGTAAATTCAGTTCTGTTTATTACTAAGCCTATAGTTCAAGGTGTTGTTACACTGAAAGGTGATTTTGCTCTCCCTGTTTATATATATGAGTAGGGCGGAATATTAAACACATCTGAATATGATGTAGTCCAGTACAACATTTTCACCAACTATGACCTCAGTGCTAAAAAATTTAATTCACTTAACACCTATATGACTGTGTCAAAAAAGAAAACTGATTAAAGGCATCATTAAAGTAGACTTTGTGGCAGCACTGTTGTAATGGATTGTATAAGACTTTACAGGTGTACTTTATAAAGTAAGTGTTACTTTTTGAAAATCCGTTGCAGGCTGCGGGCAGATTTTACCTAATTTTATAAACAAACTGTTGTCAGGAAACATCACGTTTTCTTCTTTTTATGGTGGCAACTGTTATTCAGCTCTCCCTGTCAGAAGCTTTCCCTCCACTAACTAAACAGACAGTCACAGAGGTGGGAGTGAGACAGGCAATAGGAAAGGGTACTAAATCAATCAAGTAGTAGCTGATAAATATTTAATTTTCACACAATAAGCCATGAGAACAGAGCTGCTTTGGGATCAAAATAATAATAAAAGAGACTGTGTTACATCTACTTCAGTGTCCTCTCTCAGGTGTAATGTTGGCTCACCTGTCTTGGGCCACATCCGCACTACTACGTTTCTGTTTAAAAGGAGATTTAAACCAAAAACGATCTCCGTCCCCAGCAGCATTTTATCTGCATAACAGAATGGATCTCTGTCTCTGAATACGTGAAGTGGCCGTCCACATAGCCTACACTGAGCATGCGCGTGCCGGTATAAACAGGAAGCACATTGTCTACTTCGCATTAGTAGAAGATTTGTTAAAAGAAGAAGGTACTACTACAGACTAAAAACCACACCAGAGATAGTTCTGCATGGATCTAACACGAGGTGGAATTGTTACTGACAGTAACAGGGGAGTTAAAAGCAGCTGTGGCAGCAGAAAAAACAGACTGGGATTTGTCGCAAAGCAAATACGGCCTCATGCACAGTAGCCTATAAGTGTATTGTTATTTACACAGAAAAAAATATTTACAATTTAACAGCACTATTCTGTTGCATCTGCACTAAATCCATTAAATATGCACTTCTGCCATCATGTTAAACCATGTACCTATCAATTGTGTGCTGGAGATCTGACTGGAGCGGTTCTGGAGCCACTCAATTAAAGTTAGAGCTTGCTGTTTTCTTCCATTCAAAATAATATTGCACATTAACATCATTTGACAAGAAGCAGAAATATCTATAAATCTTACCTGCTCTGAAATTGCCTCTTGCGTCGGTTAAGATGAAGTCTTCGTCTTTAAATTTTTCAAACAAATCTCTCCAAACTCCTGCTAACAAATCTCTCCAAACTCCGGCCACGCTCTGTTTTCTTCTGCTCCTCTCTGCTGCGCTGCTGAAAGGTTGGGGGAGGGGGGAAAGTTCCAGGTGCAGGGGGGCGTGTCCCTCCGCTGATGGCCCATTAATTAAGCCTGAGCCGAGAGGCTGCAAAGTCACCACAATATTCTCCACTTCTCAGCTCTGACACAGAGGCCTGTGTTACAGGCTACAGTGTTTAAAATAAAGCAAGAAACACATTTATCAGTGACAGTAGAAACACCAGGCTTTACATACTGTTAGAAGTAAAATTTCATATATTTAAAATTTTACTTAACTAAAAGTATAAAAGTACCATAAGCAAACACCGTAATTTAATTGTTGACTGTATTTTATTCATCTAAATCTGAAATGCAGCTAGTAACAAAATCTATACAATTTTAGACGTATAAAGAAAAATGGTGGTTTTAGAGAGTCTTGAATCTGTGGAACTGTACAGGCCACTTTGTGTGTATTTGTATATGGGGCAGCGGAGGTTTAAGGGGGACCTCAACACTGTCAGGAGAACTGTCTGTGTTCCCTCCACATTTGCCCAGGTTCTGGCTAAGACATCATAGGAAGAGACTTGAGGGAGATGCTTTGCTCAGTCTTATTAATGGCTCTTTTTTGTCCTCAGGAGATAAAAAAGGATGCCCTGAGCACATTTTGAATACTGTACCTTCTGTTTTAAGTGCAACAACTTTTCCAGTGCACCATCCAGCTGATAGTTACTTTAAATATAGTACAATGGTCCCTTACTCAAGAAAAGTAGAAATAGATATTTATCACAAGTCCTCAAAAAGGTATAAAAGTATTCCATAGTCATAGTGAATATACTTAAGTATCAAAAGTAAAAGTGCTCATTCTGTATGACATTGTAGTACCTCAGTTCATGCATGCATTCTGTCCTTAATGAATTAATCTCCAAACATCAGTGGTTGGTGTTCCAGTTATGCTGGCTGTAACAAAGTTGTGCAATATTTTCATTGACAAATAATTATTTTTCTTCATCTCAGTAACTTTATAGGGTTCAGATAAACAGCAATAAATACAATACAGGATTTAAAAATGTAGGGGAGCAAAAGTATAAAGCCCCTAAAATGAAAATACTTAACATTTACAGGAATCATATGTGAGGTTTCTTTGGCTCTTTCTCTGGTCTCATATGGTGCAATGTTCAGGGTACTTAAATTAAATTAGACTTATTCAAGATCAGTTAGAGATCTCTTGTTTTGATTGAGGAAGATATAAATGAGATGATATGTGGTTGTTTCTCCTGAGTTGAATTTAAGACGTAGGAGAAAAAATCCTTTGGTCTCACCTTAGTATAAAAGTAAATATTTTCTATTGAGGAGAAATTAAAGAAACACCTATATCTCTTCTTGGATTTTGCTTTTCTCTGTGCAAGCACCTGCAATGTAATCAAATAATCTACAAAGTAACAAATGTGAATCATTTTGGTTGGGAGGGTGGAGGTGGGTGCCATTATAAATGTACCTGAGCTGCCATTTCAGTGACTGACATGTTTTTATATCTTATGTAAAACAGGACATGATCCTGGATCATAGTAAAGATTTTCTCCAAAAATGATTGTTGTAAAACTCTCCCTGCTCTCTAAAACCATTTTTAAGGAACGAAGGCAATCCTTAGTGTCATTAGTCATTAGTATGCAGGCCATAATTTTCCTTTGGTGAGTTATTGTGTAGGCACAGAGTCTCTAAGACCAGCTACAGGTACCACTGAGGAACTAGGAGAGCAAAGAGGGCCCAGGAGAGAGGTCATGTCCGTGTGACCGAGCTGCGTGATGTGGCTGTGGAGGCTGCTCAGTGACTACCATAGTATTTGACAGGCTGAGGTCTTCTATCTTGTCCCATTCAGTAGCATAGCCAGGAACACCAGACAGGACACTGAGGATTCTCCTTGGAGTCAAACAGGTTGGTGACCAGCTGTCCAAAGTGCTGCCAAAGTTAGATCTGTCCAAATACAGGTGGAGCTGCCGCTCACTCCAGTGGCTCCCTGAACATCACACCCTCTGGGCCTACTGTATCCCTGCCCTGTAGCTGCTGAGGCAACTAAAGCTGTGCACGCTTTCACCATCTATTGTATGTGTGTGTTTTAATGAATAAGAGGTTACAAGAAACAACATTTATTTGTTAAACACAGTAGCAATATCTGTCCAAGCACTGTCCTCCAAAAGCATGTATATTTAAGTTTTCATGTTCCCTCTCAGGTCACAGTGCTGTAACCACATGTGTAAATATTGTGAGCAGGGCCAGTGTGGAGACAGCTGAGGTGAATTAACACAAAGTAGTCTGTGTGTTGGAAAAACTAAATTCATAAATCATTTAGGTCAAATTTTTCAAATCATGTTCCTGAAAATAAACTTTCCCCTCCTCTCCTAGCTCCCTATGTAAGCTGTCACCAAGCTGTGTCTGGTTACCATAAAAAAGATCACAGATCAAATTATTACTTTACAGTTGACTCTTTTTTTTGCTGGTCTCTACAGACAACTCTCAATTTTAGATTTATTTTCTGCTGTTCTTCTCTTACCCTGGGATTACTTGCTTTAGATAGATCTTGGCTTCATTACATTTTTCCTTAAGAGACATTTAGGTTTCACAGATCAGAATTCATTAGCCTAGCTCAATAGCTCAGCAAAAAAACAGGTCTGATAGATGCACGAATCTGAGGCTTGAAAGAAGGCCTGAAGTGCTTGGGTTATGGCTAAAAAGACCAACTCATTCTTATTTACAGGTCATCCAATACTGCATAGACTACTATTACACAACCCTGAAGATGGGTTTGTAAATGTATTTATTCTTGGTTTTAAGATTTTATATCAGCATGACAATTATAATCTGTTCTGTTAGCTAGAGTAAGCATAACACAGAATAATAAAAATAATAAAAGGTAATAACAATGAGATACAGAATAAATTATTTTTAAATGGGAAATAAAACAGAAATGAAATATTGACATTACAAATTAATTATAGGATTTGCTATGGACAAATAAATTATGTGTAGAAAATATATAAAGATAAGAAATGAAATGTGACGTGGGGGCTGAATGCACAATAAAAAGCCCATTCTGATGATATGTGATATATATGTATATATATATATATATATATGGTATATGTGACAAGTGCAGGGATTACATAAGGGAATAAAAGTCCAGTTTGATGACCCCTTCTCTTAGCAAAAGTGATTTTATAAGTAAATATCCTCAGCCAGATATTGTTAGAAATATACAATTAAATGAGCACCATCATATTTTACAATCACAGGCTGTAAAACACCCTTTCTCAACAGAAATAGTGGCCTTTGGATTCATTTCACGGCCGACTGGCAGAAATTTGAAATGGAATCAAGCCATCTTACGGCAGACGGCCCAAACAGAAATGGAACGCGCCCAGTCCACTTACGTGGACCGAGAGAGGGAGGGGGAGCGAGAGGGGGGAGAGAGAGATACGTTAATCAATTGAAGCTTTGGCGTTTTGTGCACATGAGCTTATTAACTTATTAAATCGCCATAAAACAATCAAATTCGGAGCAAAGCAAAGCTAGTGAAGGTTAAAGTTACGTTAGCAGCGATGCTAACGCGCAGCTGCACCTGCAAGCAGACGTGAGCAGCGTGAGGACCGGACAGGATGATGGACAGAACTTTAAATCAGGGAGAGATACTGGTGGAGGAGAAAGTTAATAGATGATTTAAAAGTGCTTTATTTAAATGGACACGGAGCTGCCAGAACAAGAAGCAGGGGAGAGGATGCTGAGGCTATATAGATGTTTAATTAACAGAAAGGTAAGCATGTGTTTTTATTAACGTTATTCCGTAGTGTTGGATGTTGATTAATTATCTTGAGAGAGTGATGAGCAAGTGGGCGTTTGTGCTGTGAAATTATAAGAGTTGACTAACTTAATGCAAACTTATGTAAGTCCCATGTTGTGGGCATGATGCCTGAATGTAATATTTTGGCTTATTGCTGTAAATACAGTGGTGGAAGAAGTACTCGATTTTCCTACTTAAGTAAAAATGCAGATACCACATAAAAAAGTTACTCAAGTAAAAGTAAAAAAGTACCTGGTTTTAAAATATACTTAAGTAATCAAAAGTACTACACATCAAAATCTATACACAGTATTTATTTTTAAATTCACTCCAGACAGCATTATAAGTTACAGTGAATCACAATAAGGAAGAGTACAAGTGGATATTTCCTATACTGTGGGAGGATTAGCCTGTGTTCTGCTCTTGTAGTAGTTTCCCCCTTCAGACCGACCTCATTTTGGACTTTGGGCATGTGCACGGGTTGTGTTGGACAAGGAGGTCAAAACTAACTGAAACACTTCTCAATTCACAATCTCATCAAAAATCCACATGTTAACGTCTGCACCTCTGATAAAGTGCAACTCACAGTCCCACACAGAGCGAGGTTGGCTTCAGTTTTCACATGTTTATATTGCAAAGCTCTAGCAGCTACGTTAGCACTCGGCCACAGACAAAAACAGAGCTGCTGCACAGTCACACCTGACACAACAATGCTCTCACTACAGTCCTCCCTCTTTAATTAGCCTGAATAGAAACCTCTTCTAGAAAAGTCCAGAGCTGATTTGAACAGACCTCTGGGCACTAACTCAGTCCTCATGAAGTCTGTTAAGACCGGGGGCCAGTCTGCCGGGTCATTTGGTGAAGCAGCAACTGTTCCGTTAGGGTCTGATGCTGGCTGTTCATCTCTGGCTGCGCTGGTACTGGCTGAGGCTGCCTGTGTTTCACCTGGGTCTGTGGGACCCGCTAAAGACGTCCGGACCGGGTCTGTGCTCGCACTGACTGAGGCCGGATGTGGATCAGCTGGGCTGACTGGCTGGAGTCTGTTCTTGTACTGGCTGATGATCCCAAATTTACTCCACTGACAAACTTAAGCAAAGCCCTTGTCAATGTAATGCAAATCCACTGCTTCCCATCTTGCATTAGTCCAGAGTTGGAAATAAACTTCACTGTCTTGTTTTAAAATGATGTATGAGGAGTGCCCTCACATCCTGTCTGGACTGGTTCACAGATGTTTATTGCTGGAATGCGTGAATAAAATTTTTTAGGCCGTGAATATGAACGCATTTCCACGTGCAATGCGGTCATCTTTTCCGAGCTGCAGTTTATAAACACTGTGGCCCGTCTGCATCTATCAAACATAATAAATAGTTGTATTTTTACTCAACATTGTTCTGTCACAGTCTGGCAAGAAACCAAGACACGACAGACAAGAGCTGCGCTTCTCAGCTGGTTAGCAGGACAGACAGACAGAAATTCACAGCAGCTACACATTAACTGAACATTAGGCTACTGTTACTGTTACCTGCTGACATCAGACTCTGAGAGGAGCGAACACAAGTTTACCTGCCTGCTGTTCCTGCACTTCACTCTCACTGAGCTTCTTTCTCTTCTCGTGCCTAGAAGGATAGTCCCTCTTCATCCTCTCATTTGACACGACAGTGAGGCGGGGCCGTCCACCTCTGCGCAAGACTGACTTTATTACTATCCCTGTGTAAGCCGGTGTCGCATCTGCTGGGTTAATTCGCGCAGAGTCAGCTTTATTAGTTCACATTTGTTTTTCAGTGCTGCAACCGGGGTGAGATCAGTGCTATCCACTGGCCCACCGTGCCGCCCAACAATGCACCAATATATGCACATATTGTTTATTGTGTCACTGTTGTTTAGTTTCAGCACATGTATTACCTGTGTGCCAGGTACTGTCTATAACCTACTGGGTTCAGTAGCTGACAGATGTTGTGCAAAGTTAACGTTAGTTACCACTGAAAGGAAGTATTTCCTGCCTGCGGGAGTGTAAGCATTCAGTGGTGACAGCGGAGCTTCGAGTTCACCAAAGTAGATGAAAAATATAACGTGGATTGTTTAATCTATCCTTTCAGTATTGTTGTTTTATCAACAAGGTTTTGCAAAGCAAGCTAACATATGGCTTCTGCCTTCTGTAGGCTAACATTATGTGTTATTGAATCAAGAATGTATAAACAAGAAACCACATTTTTTCTCTCAGTAAAGCAAACATTTAGGTAGGTAGGTAGGTTTTATTTTCACAATATAACAAGTTGTAGAGTGAAATTGAGTTTTATAACTCCCTTCTGCTACATAGCAGACAGGAAACAATTAATTATAAAAATGGCAACAGAAATAAACTATCATCACTGGAGCAGTGCTGAGGATGAACTAGAGTTTAAGAGTCTGATAGTTTGGGGGGGAAAGCTGCTCTGCAATCTGGTGGTGCAGCAGCAGAAACTTCTATATCTCTTCCCAGAAGGCAGCAGGGTGAACAGGCTGTGGCTAGGTGGGAACTGTCCTTTAGTATCCTTTGGGCTCTGCAGGCACCTCACCTCACTGATATCACTGATGCTCGGGAGATGGGTACCAATGATCTTCTGTTGATCTTCTGAGTGTTTTAATCACCCGCTGCAGAACTCTCCGGTCCTGGGCTGTGCACATCCCATGTTAGTGACGTTTCCAGTCTGGATGCATTCTGTTGCTCCCCTGTAAAAGCTGACAAGGACTTGGCGTGGGAATTTGGTCTTCTTAAGCTTCCTCAAGAAATCCAGTCGTATCTTAGCTTTCTTCACCAGCGTGGAGATGTGAGACGACCATGTCAGGTTCTCTGTGATGCCGATTCCCAGGATCTTGAAACTATTCACCTGCTCCACCTCAGCTCTACTGATGCCGACAGGAGTGTGTGTCTTTATCTCCTTCTTCCTAAAATCAATGAGCAGCTCCTTGGTTTTGCTGACGTTGAGCGGTAGGTTGTTCTCTGAGCACCACTCTACAAGATTATGAATTTCCTCCCCATATGAAGTCTCATCCATGTCGGGGGATGCAGTCGTGGGTGTACAGCGTGAACAGGAGGGGGTTGAGCACACAGCCCTGGGGGGCTCCCGTGTTGAGCACTAGAGTTGTGGAGGTGAGTCCGCCAATCCGAACTGACTGGGGCCCGTTCGTGAGAAGTCCACTATCCAGTTGCAGAGTGTTGTATTTAAACCCAGAGTGCTGAATTTGCTGATCATTTTCTTAAGGGACATTGTGTTGTACGCTGAGCTGAAATCCACAATCAGGATTCTGAAGTAGGTGGTGTTTTTCTCAAGGTGTGTATATATTAATACATATAAATAGATCTGTTTTAAAGTTGAGAGTCTAACAATGTTGTAGGCAGTCAGCAATCAATGTATAAATGGATTTCTCTGAAAATACTTACTTCTTTGGAGAAGCTATAACTGGCCATATAGACTAGTAATAACCTGGTTGGGGATAAGGTTAGGTGAGGTGTTTCTGTGTTTATTGCGAGATCTCTCTATGAAAGTGATTTGTGTTTTGGATTCTATTCGCTCATGAGTTCAAGCGAGCACGTGTACGAGCGCACGCCTGGTTGCAATCTTAAAACCGCAACATGAGTGGCCGCTGGAAATTCCATAATGCCCCTTTAATGTTAACATTAATTCCACACCCAAACTTACAGCTCCATTAAATAAAATAGAAAGTTCAATTAACTTAACGTTATGTTACTGCAATTTTTGTTTCAAGATTCACCACTTATCAGATATTAATTATGAAGCAGCTGCCGGGTCAGCAGACAGACACAGCAATCCCTCAACAGCCTCTTGTAACGTTAAATTTGGTCTTATACAAGTGAACTGCACTCACCACATTCAGAGCTACAACTGAAGAGTCTGTGTAAAATGTCACATAAAATATCAGCGCTAACGTATTGCATCCAGTCCAGTCCTGAACAGTCTAATGTCAAAGCTGCAAGGAAAATTGAGATCTGGTGTCAAACTAAACATTCTCGAATCGATGACAGTCCTTCATTTCAAAATGGAGGTTTGTGGTGGTTTTCGCGGTCTGTTAATATTACTGTATTTAGATTTAGAGTAATATTTTCCCAGAATGCATTGAAAATCTACAGTAACATACTGTCCACCGCTTATACAGTTGGAAACAGTTAAAAATACAGTAATAATACTTAAA